AGGGGCGTATCATTTCCGTCTCACGCTTGAGGTATTCGGCCAATCACAACGCACTGGATAGCTGGCCAATCAGAGCACACCTCGCTTTTCAGACCGGTGAGCTTTGTAAAAATCGACGCGTTTCAGAAAGGCGGGGCATAGAGGAGAAACAATAATGTACAGTATGTGGAAAATAATGTGTTTTTTTAAACTTAAACCGCATAAACACATTTCATTACACCAAATACACAAAATTATGTTCTTTTTAGCAACATCATATTTACCTTTAAGTAAATTCATGTTCCATGAAGATATTTTGTAAATTTTCTACCATAAATATATAAAAACTTAATGTTTGACTCATAATATGCATTGCTAAGAACTTCATTTGGACAACTTTAAAGGTGAATTTCTCAATATTTAGATTTTATTTTTGCACCCTCAGATTCCCGATTTTCAAATAGTTGTCTCTCAGTCAAACATTGTCCTATCCTAATGAACCATACATCAATGGAAAGCGTATTTATTCAGCTTTCAGAAATCTCAATCTTTAAATCTCAGTTTCAAAAAATTGACACTTTATGACTGGTTTTGTGGTCCAGGGTCACATATTACAAGTGTGTTAAGATATTTTGTGTCATCAGTTCAAATGTCAACTGCAAGGTGAAAAAGAAGAAGTAGAGCTCCATTTGACATTCAGTTACAAATTAACTTTATCTGAGAATGACAAGCTAAAGACACACCTCCAGCAACCTTTGCACAACCTACCTGCCATTTCCTTAATCTTGGAAATGGCTAACAAAAATGATCCTGTCCATGTTAAAATGTGACATCTGAGGAGAAAATCCATCAGTTTTGACATATTCTAAATAACCAGAAGAGCCAAATCACAGGTAAGTTGCCTCACAACATTTCTTTCACTGTATTCTGATGCTTACATTCATCTCTCTATATATATATGTTTGTTAAATAGCTTTTTAACATGACAAAAGCAATGCAAAGACCAACATGTGATCTCTTTGGCACATATTAGCAGGAAGAAAACATCTTAACACATTGTTCAATGTTGGTAGTTTAATATTTAATGATCTCACATTTCCACCTGTCAACCCTCATGTCATTTTACATTCTGTTGTAAACAAGCAACAAACAAACAACAAGCTAACTGTTCGGGAAGGTAAAGTGGACTATTATGGGAATCAACATAGTTAACCGCATACTTGCTAAGCTGACAAGACCTAAGATTGTCTAATATATCACAGGAACATTTGAAAAGGTAGGCCTAACCCATTTCCTAATGTATTTTGTGCAGTGCACTACTGCTAATAAAAACAAAATATTAAGGATAAACGTAAACATACAAGTTTTAATTTCTTTCTGACTTTTCAGGAACTTAATGCAGGTAACAATTTAAATTTGATTCATAATTGATAAATTAAAAGCTGTGTTGAACAGTATAGCTTTCAAATTTTTTATATGCAAAAACAACAATGCAAAGTCCTTAGTGCCAATGTAATCAGTAACATACAAACTAGAAGTAAATGGGGGAGGGTGTGTATAGTGTATACTTGATCTTTAGGAGGTCAAGTGAAAGACTCTTTTCTGCGCCGTATTTCCGCAGTATGTTCGGACCCACACAGCAAGGTCTGGGAAAGGATCTGGGGGCTGTTAGTTTGCAAGTAGCATTAGGAGATAAAGATGAAGTCAGAATCCTATCAGTTCCTACCTCTACCACACCTTTTCTGAAGCTGTTTTTCTCACATTTATAATCATACGCACATGCAGACACTTCCAAGTTGGCTGACTCTCAGGTATGCTGTTACAGGGGCGTCCTGAGACAGGAAGAGATAAAAGCAGCTCCTAAGGAGTGTTTACAGCCTGAAATGAATAGTGGGAGAAGGAGGGAATGAGAGGAAGGGCCCCTATAAAAAAATGTTGAACCCTGTATGAAATGTGGCCCCTGTGGAAGCCACAAGGAGATAAGCAGGAAATGCTAAAGCCTGTGAGATGGAACATTCAAACACTCTGTTTCATACACATGCACGCATGAAGAAATCCAACACATTCTCATGGCAATCTATAACTATATTACAATATCATTAGCATGTTTTTGTGCAGTCTGCAGTACGACAGTTTTAGGGGTGGACCTTCATGCTTGCTTACTTTTTCTGAAAAAAAAAAAGAAAATGTCCTTACAAATCACATATACATACAAAATTGCCACCTCTTCAAAAATAGTTATTCATTTTCATGAGATAAGGTTGTTTATTCTTATTCACTACAACACTTTTTTATTCTACTGTATTACAAACTTAAGATGGCAGTTAATTTCATTTTTAGTAAAATTGTTTTAAGATAATGGTAGTGACAAGTATTATTGGATTTACGATTATTCTTGATCTAATATATTTGCAATCATTAACAATCCAGAAGTACATTTTTTAGGTTATTTACCTGGTCGTTTGAATAAGTTCTTTGAAATGCATTGTAGCAGCACACATCAACTTTATTGTTTTGTATTGCACCTTTTGTACTTTATTACCCTTATTGCACCTTGTTATGTGACTCTCAGGAATCTTGGATTCTTATTGGTCAGTTTTAGCATTCTGTGGTTAAATATGTTTACAGAATGATGACTAAACAATATAACCGGCCATTGTCCCATGCAGGGAATTTCCTAAATAGCTAATGCTATTTGTCATGTTATTCATGGTTCATGCTTCTGGTGTCACTCTTTCTTCACACATGTCCATTTATTTATTTATTTGCTAAAAAGTGAAATTATGTATATAAATCCCTTCAGGGTGATAAAAATCCTGCTGCTTTCCACCCTTTCAGGGATTGTTTGGCCTTACCAACTGTACACTATTCCTTACATAGGCTAGTGCTACACTTAATTAATTGTTAATTTGTGTGTTTTATGCATGAGGTTGTTGTTTGCTGTAGGGTTATGCTGAGTTTTGTGGTGGATCACTGAATGCTAGCATGTTAGAGTTCCTGTTCGTGCTATCAGGAACTTTTTGAATTTTAGATTTATTTTTTTTCAAATCTTGTGCAATTGATAATATGAAACAAGGTCATATAGGTTTATATATGGAGTACTGAAATACTACTACTACTACTAATAATAACACAGCTATAGCCTACAAATATTTTAGTTTTTAACAGTGTTTAATTAAGTATTTTATAAATGTGAACTTTCACAGAGCTTCATTCAAGGGGGTAAAAAAATAACAGTTTTTTAACAAGTCAAAATTATAGTTTAATATGATTGAATCAACCTGACTATATTAGGTTGCACCAACAAATGTAAGTTTATAAAAAGTGGTTTGTACCACTTTTTACAGTGTTGAAAATACATATTTTCAAGCTACTATGAGTGTGGGACATTTTCTGATCTTTCCATTGTACTGACAGTGTCAATAACCTGCCTTGACTCCCCAATAAAGCAAAGATTCATATGACGTTATATAGTTATGAAATGGCACCAGAACTCAAGCTCTCGCAGTGCTGAAGGCCACTTCAGTGTATGTCATTTATCTTCCTTAATTGTGATTTCTGCAGGAAGCAGGAAAACATGGGGTATGCTACACACACAGTGTGTGTGCTCCTGTGTTTTGGGGTCTCGGGACCATGCTACACACTCCAGACCTTGGGCCCATGTATGGTCAACAGAGAGACGGTGAGGAAAAACAACACACACTCTGGCCTCTTTTGTTCCCTGAGCTAGAGCAAGTGCTGCTACATCAGGAGTATCCTGTTTGTAGGCACTTGTTTCCTGTTTTCGGTGACAGAGGTTTACCCAGTCTGTTAGTGGTTTATGTCACGAGAAAATAAATTTCTTGTATCCTGTTTGAAACCGCAAGTGGGTAATCTGCCTTTTTTATTTTTATTTTTTAAATCTTAATTGAACAGGGCAAAATTATAGTCTATGTAAATGCATGTGTTTTTTTAAATCCTCATATGTCTAATACTATTTCAATTGACTGTGATGTATTCCAGAAGTAAGTTTCATAACCATATACCTCTTTATTCTTCCTACAGGCTGCATTTGACTGCAGTGGGAAAAGACTTACATCGGTACCAAAGCACATCTGGATGAATGTAACCGAACTGGACCTGTCTGACAATCTGTTAGACTCAACCCACAGTGACAGCTTCAAGCGCCTTAACCTCTTCAGTCACTTAGTCTCACTGAATCTATCAGGAAACTACCTCCCCCTACTGTTAAAAGACCATCTCTACAGCCTTTCTTCTCTTAAAATACTAGACCTGAGTAGGTGTAAACTGGCCGCAGTGGAGGCAAACGCTCTGGTCAAGCTTTCCAGTTTACAGATGCTCCTCCTGGGGGACATTCAGTCGACTGCAGTCAAAGACCTGAGATTGAGTCAGTTTGTGGAACAGAATAACAGACAGAAAGTGGGAGACAGAGGAATGATGATCAAAGCATCAAAGCACATGGCACAGGATGACCGCAATGATGGTAGGAATACTTTTATCTCGTCTGTATTAGATTTTGTTTGTTACTTAGTGACGTATACTGTTGGAGTGAAAAGGAGAATCTTTTACAAATCTAGTTTCTGTTCCTTAGAAATTTATTCTTTGGTTTCATGTTGGTTTCATATGGATTTGAAAAACTTTTATACCATTTTCAAGACAAGATTTATTTCAGTGACTTTAAAAATATCATGCAGCATCAAATAAAAAGTAATAAAATAATTCCTTACACCTTAAATGCAAGTGAGTGTACAAATAACAATAGCCTACAAATTACTTTTTCAACTGCATTTTTCATTAAAAAAACTGTATTTTTACTTTTGATGATATCAGGATAATTGAATCATCCTTTGAATCATCCAACCTTTGTGCTCCTCCAAAATAATACAAATTAAATGAATTTGAACGCAGAAATTTTAAACCGGTGCATCATAAAAGATGTGTATTCAAGTCAGTGTATAAGTGAATTGCATTTTTTATGTATGTTGGAGAATTAGATGAGGACCAGCCATTTCTTAGTGACATTCATTTTCTCTGAATTAATTATATTTATATGGAAAAATAAGCTATTTGTGTGCCACTACATATTCTGACATAACATTTTTTTTTTTGAGAAACACTATTTCAATATCATGTTTTTCTAATGGCAGGATATTCTAAGGATGTCAACTATGGAGCCTTCCTTCGTAAACTACTCACAGCGGAACCACCACCCTCAGACAATACAATTAATGGTCAAAACCTTTTTTCCCCTTTAATCTAGTGTTAATCTATTATTACCTGTGATGATCAACTTTTATAACCGTGCATACATCTGAAACTCAGCTAACCATTATAAATAACATTTTTAGGCACAAAAACAGAGGATGATCCCAAAACATCTTCAGAAAGCTGGAAGGTCCTTGTGGCTGTTCTGGGGTCAGCTATCACCCTCTCTGTCCTTATCGCTTTGATGGCCAAATGCAAAGTCGTGCACAAGTATCTGGCGAGCTACAGACACTCCAGGCTCAGCGAAGTAGACGCCACGAGTCAGTGTGACACTGCAAACTTTGAGGTGGGATTCTCGACCCAGGGTGGCCCTGGGACTCGCGCAGCTGCACCTACTCATGACATTGAGGAGGATGACGATGGGTTTATTGAAGACAACTATATTCAAGCAAGTGAGAGTGAGAGAGCCACAAGAGCAGCAGCACTGACTGATGATGATGATGATGATGATGAGGAGGAAGAGATTGAATTTAGTATTGGCTAGCACTATTAAGTCTAATGTTGTTAAATCCTATTTATAATAACTTGCATTAAGTAGTCAGTAACAAACATTCAATACTCCATAATCACTAAACTATTCATATTACTTGTTTTGACATAGATGTCCAAATAGTTTCTAGGGCCACTTTAAAAAAAAAAAAACATTTGAAAATATGTGAATCAAAGTTGAATGACAATTGAATGTACAGTAGGCCTTACAAAATAATGATCTGTTAATCATTTTATACAATGTTAACATTGTTAATGAAAGTTATTATTAATTTTTTTTTCAAATGGTAATATTAATAATCAATAACATTTAAAGATTTGTCTTTCTAGAATTTGCATTTACATGTACTTTTAATTGCGTTCTGGACCACATAAATTTTGTCTTTTGTATGTTTGTATGTTTCACTTCATTTCTAAATTAAATTAGCTTTTTTGTTCTTTTTTGAGAAAACGCTATTCTTTCATTGGCCACCGGGCGCCGCCTTTGTGCCCTTTAGTCTAGAAATAAATATTAAAATTTTACTACTGATATTATTATATATTTTTGATATTGTTTATAAATGTTATATAACACAAATTAAACATTATATGGCATTCACGTCATCCTAAACGAATGCCGTGTTAGGCTTTTTATTAGTATCTACTTTTTAATAAAGGATTGTCACCTGAAAGTATTTGAAGTTACGTCACACTGCTTCTACATTACAACAGAGCGACGCGACGAAACAGCGTATCGCTTGGTTCATTATAATTGCAGCGTTCTAGTTTTGACGCGTCGCGTCTCTCGCAGTTTACAGCACAGCAACAAGCTCGAGCTGCACAACCGGTTAGACGCCTCCAAACCCGGAAGACGCGCGTAAGGGATGGGGAAGATCTCTCATTTCACTTGATCAAACTTTACCAAAATTCACAAAACTTCGACCCCTGTCAGTCACTTCTGGTCATACAACAGCTTTGATAAGGATGGCAGCGTCCGCGATCTTCATCCTGGACCTTAAAGGCAAGGTAAGAGCGCGTGCACCTGTAAGAGAAAGGTCGTACAGTTTATACTCTCAGTATAGACAGTGTGACACTTTATTTAAAACCTATATAGCTACAGATAATCGATGTTTACATATCAGTTGCCAAAGTAAATTGTATGTATTTACTCACTTGAAGGTTTCTAAAACAACTAATGATGTAAATATGGCACAAGAGAGCTACACCATACCCATCACACTCTAAAGTTAACAGCACTTTCACTGAAGGCAACTGTAATGTTAATCTTTCACATATTGCGTTTTTTCTATATTTAAAAGTTATATTTAAAAATGTATTCCTGCTAACAAAAAAAAAGGTTATTTTGTGGACGTTGTAAAAAAAAAACATCAGTACTTTCTTATAATGTGAAATATTATTACAATTTAAAACTACTGTTTTATATTTTAAAATATTTTGAAGTGTAATTTATTCCTGTGATGGTGAAGCTGAATTTCTTCAGTGTAACATGATCCTTCAGAAATCATTCAGATCAACATTTCATATTTTTTTTCAATGTTTAAACAAAGGGCTGCTTAAATATTTTTTATGGAAACTGATCATTTTTTTCTTTAATGAATAGAACGTTTAAAAGAGCAGTCATTTGAAATAGGAATCTTTTGCAACATTATAAATGTCTTTACAGCCATTTTTCAGTCAATGTAATGCATCCTTGCTGAATAAAAGTACTAATTTCTTTCTTTTGAATGATAGTGTATCACAGTTTCCACAAAAATATTAAGCACCAAAAAATATATGAAATAAAATAATGAAAAATTTTTTTTTTGAGTGCCAAATAATACTGAAATGAATACTGAAGGATCATGTGACACTAAGGACCCTGAGTAATGGCTGTTGAAATTTCAGTTTTGCCATCACAGGAATAATTTACATAATAAAATATAGAAAAATAGAAAACAGCCATTCTAAATCGTAATAATATTTCACAATATTACTGTTGTTTCATTTTTGATTAAATAAATGCAGCCTTGGTGATCATAAGAGACTTTAAAAAACATAAAAAAAGTAATTATATATCAGGAGGTGTAAATATAAAGGGAAGCTCTGAACACATTTGTAAAATGTTGAAAGTAGTGGGTGGATGGGAGTGTTTCCATGAAAACAGAGCCTCAGGGTCTCAGTGGAATGGATTACCCTCCAATATACCCCTGGATTTTGGCAGTGCTGATGAAAGCGGTCTTGTCTGTGCCCTAGAGCAATCCAATATCTCCATCTGAAGGAATACCTCAACACCAGCCACGTTAAAGTCAGACTTCACTGATCTTTAAGTTTCATCCTACTATACACCCTGAATGTATCTCTCAGTGATAAAAGTGACCAGAAGCATTTGATTGTCTCTTGAATTGATTAATAGAAGTATTAGTGAAGATATTGCTTTATGGATCATTGATTGACCTGTTAACATATTCTCAAGCTGGTTTGAGTCAATGAAAACAAACCTTGTGCTGTAAGTGTCCTTTTGGCCTGAGAATTCATTACAAGTGTTTTCTGCTTTTGAGGCCGTAAGGAATCCATTTTGCATGATGACTGGGGCCAAAACATCTCTTAAGATAAATAAAAGATTCTCTCTATTAACTGAGAGAACCTCAAGGTTTTCCAGAGTTTTTAAATGACCTTTTGTTTGTTGTATTAATATAGAACATGTCTTTATATGGATTACACTCATGTGAAGTGATTCCGTGATGACAGAGCAGAATTGGGATTCTCTGTTTTATGACAATCTTGTGCTTTCAACTTTGTTTCCATCTCTAAGGTCCTCATATGTCGAAACTACATGGGCAACGTGAACATAAATGAGATTGACAACTTTATGCCCATAATGATGAAGAGAGAGGAAGATGCAGATTTGTCACCAGTGGTTATTCACGGCTCGACCCACTTCCTCTGGATCAAGCACAGCAACCTCTACTGTATCCTCCATATGCTTACATCTAAATGTCAAAGTATAACCTTTATTTGTCTTTATTAAAATATCACTTTATTTGTGAATATTTGTCCTATTGTTGTTACAGTAACAGCTCTGCAAATGAGTAGAGTATTTACTACTTAACAGATTTTACTCAGTGGTTGCAATAACAAAGAAGAATACCAATGCTGCTCTTGTATACTCCTTCCTGTACAAATTAGTGGAGGTAAGTGTGTTTTATATATATCAACATGACACCGCCTTCCATAAAACCTTACACAGCACAATCTTGTTGGCTGTGTAAACATCAACACCCTAAAAATGTGCCGTAGCACATTTCCTCATTTTAATATATCCTTACCAAATTTGTGTACATTTAATGTAGTAGTCTTGTATTAACCATTTGTTTGCAGGTGTTCACTGAATATTTCAAGTCACTGGAAGAAGAGAGTATTCGAGACAATTTTGTGACAGTATATGAGCTAATGGATGAAGTCATGGACTTTGGATTCCCTCAGACCACTGATAGCAAGATCTTACTAGAGTAAGTTCTGACAGACTTACCATTCAGCCATCACTGCTCAGAGAACATTGTTCATCACTCACTAACAGTGCTATGAGGGTTCACCATTCACTATTCAAGCTCAGGGCTATTCATAAGTCACAGTATATGCTTTGTGCAGAGGGCAGAGTTTAACAAAATGCTGTTATTTGTGTTTTATAATACTCATAGAGATGATTGGACCAGAGAAATGCAATATACTGTCGTATCTAAGCATAAAGAGACGTTTTTAAGTCAAATTTGTTGAAAATTCATACTGAATAGCAATAACTGAAATATTTATGGCTGATAAATTATCCCTTTAAGCAGATGACAGCACGTTCTGGTCATTTACCTATTTAGAAGATTTAAAAATATTCAAAACATAAAATTCTAACACATTTAGCTAATTAAAAATGTTTTGCCCTTAAAGAAACGGAGAGTACAAACCTAAAAGTAGAACATTCTAACTAAAGAATATAACAAAAGCACAATAAACAATTTCTTGTCTGGCAAAAAAAAACAAACAGGACAATCATATGTAAGTCAGTTCATAAACATCTTTCAGGTTTATAAGTGCTTCTCAGTTTGCTGGCAACCACTTAGCGGATAGCTAATTATTGCTAGCTCTCACTGACAGCAGCACAATACCCTGTCAGCTGGAGAAACTTGAGGTTAGAGCGCACACACATGCACATCTACACTTCTCAGATCTTGTTCTGGAAACAACATTTTCGCAGAATCCAAAGAAATTTGGAAGGAATTAGGAAAGTTATTTAATGAATATTTAGCGGGTTGTTTTGGTGTATTTACTCAGATGCTCTATTATAGTATGTGTGTAATGTTAGCGTTCACATTCATTTCTATTCGCAGTTGTATGTATGATAGATGAAGGATTTGTGGTAAGGTAAACATTGCAGATATATAAGTGATGGAACTACAAAAAAAGAAAAACAAGGTTAGGTGTTTGTCAGCCTGTCTGTCCCAAGGGGCAGCCATGTTCTTCCCATGAGTTCTAATAAGCACCAGAGGTCTGTTTACAGACTCACTGAAGTTACTTGCTTCACTGATTAGTGACAAATAATGATGCTCGTCATATTGATAATAGCTGACATGCACTGGTGGGCTCATATAATATTTAATCTTTTTATGATAATTGTCGATTTCTTATGTTACCATGTCTTGATGGCCTTCTTTCACTTCCACACCAGGTACATCACCCAACGTGGGCATAAGCTGGAGGTGGGAGCGCCACGGCCCCCAGCTACAGTAACCAATGCTGTGTCTTGGAGGTCAGAGGGCATCAAATACAGGAAAAATGAAGTCTTCATGGATGTCATTGAGTCTGTCAACCTATTGGTGAGATGACTTAAATATACTGTAGTGACAACATTCCTCAATCAGCCAATCAAATTATTGGGTTAGGTTTGGGGCTTCAACATCATTCTTTTGAACCTATGATTTTCTTATGACTTGAGGGGTTTTTAATGGTTTTAGAGGTTTTAGGATCAACAAAAGATGTTAACTCAGGAATACATTCTAATTGGTAAAATCAGTCATTGTAGATGTGCTTTATATTATTTTTAATTATTATATAATGCATCTGTGCAATTAATTACTCTTGAGCGATTAGTCCTTATCGAATTTCAGCACATGACATTTATTTACACTAACGATCAAAAGTTTGGGGGCAATTCTTTTTTTAGAGAAATTAATATTTTATTCAGCAAGAATGATGCAATAAATTGATCAAAATTGAGAGTAACGACTTCTACATTGTTTCAAATGATTTCTATCAAAGATTTTTAGATTAGCAATAAATAAATGCAGTTCTTTTGGACACTCTACTCATCAAAGAGTCCTGAAAAAAATGTATCACAGTTTCCACAAAAATATTAAGCAGCACAATTTTTTTAAAGATAATAAAAAATGTTTCTTGAGCACCAGTATATTAGAATGATTATATTTCTTTGAAAACTGGAGTAATGTCTACTGAAAATATAGCTTTACCAGGAAGCTCTATTATAGTATGTGTGTAATGTTAGCGTTCACATTCATTTCTATTCGCAGTTGTATGTATGATAGATGAAGGATTTGTGGTAAGGTAAACATTGCAGATATATAAGTGATGGAACTACAAAAAAAGAAAAACAAGGTTAGGTGTTTGTCAGCCTGTCTGTCCCAAGGGGCAGCCATGTTCTTCCCATGAGTTCTAATAAGCACCAGAGGTCTGTTTACAGACTCACTGAAGTTACTTGCTTCACTGATTAGTGACAAATAATGATGCTCGTCATATTGATAATAGCTGACATGCACTGGTGGGCTCATATAATATTTAATCTTTTTATGATAATTGTCGATTTCTTATGTTACCATGTCTTGATGGCCTTCTTTCACTTCCACACCAGGTACATCACCCAACGTGGGCATAAGCTGGAGGTGGGAGCGCCACGGCCCCCAGCTACAGTAACCAATGCTGTGTCTTGGAGGTCAGAGGGCATCAAATACAGGAAAAATGAAGTCTTCATGGATGTCATTGAGTCTGTCAACCTATTGGTGAGATGACTTAAATATACTGTAGTGACAACATTCCTCAATCAGCCAATCAAATTATTGGGTTAGGTTTGGGGCTTCAACATCATTATTTTGAACCTATGATTTTCTTATGACTTGAGGGGTTTTTAATGTTTTTAGAGGTTTTAGGATCAACAAAAGATGTTAACTCAGGAATACATTCTAATTGGTAAAATCAGTCATTGTAGATGTGCTTTATATTATTTTTAATTATTATATAATGCATCTGTGCAATTAATTACTCTTGAGCGATTAGTCCTTATCGAATTTCAGCACATGACATTTATTTACACTAACGATCAAAAGTTTGGGGGCAATTCTTTTTTTAGAGAAATTAATATTTTATTCAGCAAGAATGATGCAATAAATTGATCAAAATTGAGAGTAACGACTTCTACATTGTTTCAAATGATTTCTATCAAAGATTTTTAGATTAGCAATAAATAAATGCAGTTCTTTTGGACACTCTACTCATCAAAGAGTCCTGAAAAAAATGTATCACAGTTTCCACAAAAATATTAAGCAGCACAATTTTTTTAAAGATAATAATAAAAAATGTTTCTTGAGCACCAGTATATTAGAATGATTATATTTCTTTGAAAACTGGAGTAAGGTCTACTGAAAATATAGCTTTACCAGGAATAAATTGCACTTTAAAATATACAGTATTAAAACCAAAAACAGTTATTTTAAATTGTATAATATTTCTATTTTTGAATTGTATAATTCTGTTTCACAATATTACTGTTTTTACTGTATTTTTGATCATGAAAAAAATAATAGTTTTAAGTAAATTTGCAATAAATAACAATAGCATAACATGCATTACCTATTTGAAGTAAAAAGTAACTTATAGCGTAATATAAAGATGAGCACATTACTTTCCTTGTTGTGGAAAAAAAACACTTTCCACATACTGGATCAGTTTTGCGTATTCAGTGCAGACATCAAACAGCCCACGCTATCGCTCCGTCATCCTACTGTACCTTAGCCGACCTCCTTCATGTTCTCCAGGGTCAAGGGTTAGGTCTCCAGACTTCCTTAGATCGAGAGAGGGAGGAAGCAGCTGCCGTCTTTAAGTTCTTGTTACCTTTCTTTTCTGCTTCTTAACTCTGAGCCCCCCGAATGGACTGGCTTTTGATGGATTCATTAGAGCTCCTCAGGGTCGGGGGGGTCTAAACGCTGGCAGACAGTAGCGCTGAGCAACACCACTCTTCTGATTAAGAGCTAAATCATGTCTCATTGCTTTCTAATTCTGCATTGCTATTCATCCGTGCAGCTTTCTCGCTCTGGCTTTTTCTGGCTCTTGTATCTGAGAGCCCTCAGAGGTATTGAATCGATGTGGACTTTTTGAGGTTTAGATCTACCTTCTGAGTCCAGCTTCTATGCTTTCAATATTTTACCATAATATAATATATTACATTCTCATATCCGTAGTTATCGCAGCATATTCAACCCTCTCTTTCCTAGAGCATTATGGCACAAATCACACGGTTGCTGCCTTGCCCGACAGAGCGTAATAAATTGTAGATGGCAGTAATGGTGATGATGCAATATCGCACCTTGCCACTCTTGATTGTGCTTTGCATTTATCTTCTCTGTTTTTGTTGGTTATAGGTCAGTGCTACAGGCAGTGTTCTGCGTAGCGAGATTCTGGGCTGCATCAAACTCAAAGTCGTTCTGTCAGGCATGCCTGAGTTAAGGCTTGGACTCAATGACAAAGTTCTCTTCGAGATCACAGGCCGTGAGTATACCTATCCATCTTTAAAACTGAAATGTGTCACTTTTTGAAACAAAACAGTAACAATAGTAATAGTAACAAACAGTAACAAATCTTACAGCTTCTTATTTTTCAAACTTAAAATTGGTTTTAGGTATTGTTGAACTTCTGTTTCTGTATGTGTAGATTTTTAAGTATAATCAATTAACTATATGGTTTCTTATGATAAGACTTGTCATAGACAAAAACAAAAATACAAAAAAAATAAAATAAATCAAAACAGTTAAAATTTGGGCATTATGGTATCCTTAATAAATGAATTGAATTCTCACCAACAAGAAGTTGAACGAGGACAACTCCAAAATAAATAAAAGCATGTTTCTGCATAAACCACAAAATGTACAAATATATCAATATCACAATTAAATCTGTTTACAAGATTGCAAAGTTAATATTTACCTGTTTTTCTGTCATTATTTCTCCATTTGCTTTTGGTGACACAAATGGTGACCAAAATGCTACATTTCAGTCTTAAATTGACCTTGCATTTTTATTTATTTTTTTCCAAGTAGTGCAGAAAGAGACTCAATTTCAAGGGCTGCTAGTCAAGCAGTCAGTCGATTGTCTTAACCTATTTTATAGTAAGCATCTCTCTCATTTGCACTTGTTAGGTGAATTCCATTATTCAGATTCTCTTTGTTAATCCTCACCCCAGGCCTAACCCAGCGGGTGTTCGTTTCACAGCAGGCCAGATCTCAGTTATGTATTCTGCATGTGCGGTATAAATGCACCTTGCATTTTAGAACAGAGGCGCTCTGGATTTACTCTACTTGTGAAAGGGAATCGATATCAAATTAATTAAGTGATTATCTTCTGTTCAAAATAAATAAATATCAGTTTCATCCTTATAATTAGATGCATCTATTAACCAAGCTAAGCGGTAGCTGTTGACCCCACCAACATTTTATAGACATTACAAACTACCCTTTCAGTTTACTTCTACAGGAAACTGTTTCATCAGATATGGTTTCAGGGAAGTGAAAAAAACCTGGTTGTTTCCTGTGCCACTACCCACTATAAAACTGAACTATGGCGCAAACATCTCGGTTACGTATGTAACCTTGGTTCCCTGAATAGAATAGAAACGCACTCAAAACTCAGACACCCCGTCACAACAGGGCCAAGACGCATCCATTCACCTGGCGTTCGAGGCCAGTTCAATGAATCAGTATTGGCAAGCTCTATTCCAAAAGCAAACCTGAGGAACTTCCTGTGTCTCTTGACGATCTGGATGCAGAAGTACGCATCCTTAGATCGATGGTCACAAACCAATCTCGGGTTCAGATAGAGACAGGATGAACTTCTGCGTCAGCATCTTGAAATTGCTTACTCCAAGCACAAGGTTAGGTGACGCAAATCCAATCAACCCATAGAAGCTGGATGGTGTAACCATAAGACAGCCTGATCCTCCCTCATGAGGCCCCGAGACACC